TGCGCGAGCAGGCGACGGGCGGCTGCGGACGGGCGGCCTCTGCGACGGCGGGCTGCGGGCAGCGGGGCGTGCGCGAGCAGGCGACGGGCGGCTGCGGACGGGCGGCCTGCGGGGCGTGCGCGAGCAGGCGACGGGCGGCTGCGGACGGGCGGCCTCTGCGACGGCGGGCTGCGGGCCTGCGGGGCGTGCGCGAGCAGGCGACGGGCGGCTGCAGCAGCGGGTGCGTCAGCGTGGCGCACAGGGCAGCGGCGGGCAGTGCGCGAGGCTACGAGGCGCACGGGCAGCGGGGAGGCAGCGTGACGGGCCGCGCGCGAAGAAAATAAAGCGCGCGCGGGCAGCTGGCGGGGCGCACGCGTGAAAACGGCCGCGCGCGAGCGGCTAGTACGGCGCGCGCGGTAAAAAAAAAAGGAAAGCCACGCGCGGGCGGCTAGCGAGCTGCGTGCGCGTGGTAGGTAGGTAAGGAGCGCTCTAGGACGCGCAGGCGCACGAGGCGCACAGTAGGTAGGTAGGTAGGTAGGTGGGCCCTAAGAACAGTCCTAGCGACGGACCTGCTCTGAAACCATGTCAGTAATAACGGACTGGAATGGTGAACTAGAAAGGATTGTGAGTACAAATATGAAACCCTAATGTTGTGACCCCCCTATAGGCTAACCCACTACAGCCTACACAAACACAACACATATAATGTTTGACACGGGCCCGTGGGCGCCCTGTTTCCTCTTCCCCTGCGCTGCCCGCTGTCCCCCGTGGTTCTGACGGCGCCCCACCCCTGCTGCTGCCCGTTCTCCTGCATTAGGGTTTGGGGGTGGGGGGTATGGGGGTGCAGCTTCTGTGTGCCGTTCCCTGCTCCTCCTCCTCCTCCGTCTCCCGCTGCTGCAGCTGCCGCTCAGGGGGGTGGGTGTGTGGGAGCCGAAGGAGTGGTGCTAGGGGGGTGACGTGGGAGTGGAGCTAGGGTTTGAAGCAGGGGGTGTGTGTCGAGGGTGTGGGGCAGCTGGAGGAGGTTGTGTGAAGGTAGCTGTCGTGTCGCCTGCAGCGCCTGTAGTCCGTCGCCCTTGCTTCGGTAGCCAGTGAGCCTGTTGCACCAGTCGCCAGTGGGTCCGTTGCTCCTGCCGCTCGTCTATAGCCGCGGAGCCAGTCACTCCAGTAGTCCGTCGCCCTTGCTTCGGTAGCCACTGAGTCAGCCGCTCCTGTGCCCGTGCCTCTGCAGCTTCAGTCGTTGCCTCCCATCTTCTCTCCCTCCACAGTTCCTCCTCCTCCTCACTTGCCCGCTGTGATTAACTCTAGTTTTGCTTACCTTTGTGAACTCCTGCTCTATACCTGCTTGCTCATTGTACTGATTCCACCCCACTTTGGCTATGGGGGTGTGTCAGAATGTTATTCTCTAGCCTGTAGTGGGGTGCTCTATAGCGAGTACAACCCATCTAGGGTTTGCTATATGTATCCTCATTGCTGCTAGTGAAACTCCTCTTTGCCTAAATTCTCTCTTGCCTAGCTAGGGTTTTCCTAGCTATGGCTCCTCATTCCTCGTTTTTTCACAGTTTCCTCACTTGCTGTAGGCTTTGCTTGTACTGTGATCTATATATATATATACCTGCATGTTTACTCTTGCTAGGTTGCCAGTGATCTCTGTACTGTTGTTGCATATATATCTTTGCATGTGAACTGGCCTTGAGGCCTTTGCTTGTGCTCAGTGTGTGTGGTGACGTTGTGATCCACCCTGAGCTTGCTTTGCTTTTCTTGACTGGTCTTGTGACCCCTTGTTCTCCCCCACTTTTCCTATGGGGGTGTGTCAAACTATGATGATGCTTGTGCTTTGTAGGCTGTAGTGGGGTAGCATATAAGGGGTACAACCCAAATTAGGGTTAGCATTTGTACCCACTTCTCTCATCAATGCATCCATTCTCGCGTACTCTTCTGACACATCAGAGCTAAAGACATCAGCACCTCGCAACAATTGCTTAGATCTGGATGTACTACTTCAGAAGCCTACCTTTTCCATCGGAAGGAACCATCCAAGAGAAGCATCAGTACTACCACAAATTTCTTCTCGCGTATGCCGCTGTCCTCCGAAACCTCTCCCCCACCGAGCAGCTCGGCATCCGCTCCTACAAATCGGAGTGTCGCTCCTGCGCAACTGTCTTGGGAACACCTGCGCAATTCGTACATGGTAATAGATCCATTCACCATGAGTCGACTGCTTAGTCAATAGACATCAGTTAAAATGCAGCAAGGGGAGAAAGCGGGACCATATATCAACCAGTGCCGCAATCAGCACGACCACATTGAAAAGTTCGGCGGAGCTGTCCCTGACGACATGTTCGTCTTGATGGTTCTTTCCGGCCTCGGACCCGATTGGCGCCAAGGCCAGTCGTTGCTCCGCGCTCGAGCAACCATTTTTGAATCCGCTCTTTGCGTCACTCTTCTCTCCGAGCAGAAGGAGGTCGACTTGTGCAATGAGAAAACCAGCAAGCGGGAGAAGTGTTATTCGCTGGAGCGACTGAAGGGGAGCAACATGGAAAGAACGGAACCTTATGCAAATACTGCTAGAAGCCCTGTCATACTATAGATCGGTGCTACAAGCAGAAGACCGCTGACGAGAGGCGTAACAGTAACTCATTTGGTCAACAGCCCTCGGTGCCCCCAACAACTCCAGCCGCAACAGCAACCATGTCGCCATCCTCCGTCTCGCAAGCATTTCGCAAACTCCTGCACGCATTTCATCCAAAGACAAGAGCAAGGGGTCAGTGTTAAGCTTCATGGCGCGACGTCGCAGTGGCATCCGATACTACGGCGAGATTCAATTCGCAACAAACGCGCCTATTACCCCCATCGCACCAAGCCCGAACAATGATCCTACGCTCAGTCTCTGGTTCGACAGACCTACCAATATCCCACCTGCCTTCGAGTTGCCTCCAAGCACTCCGGAGTCACCTCCCAACCTTCTTGCCAGAAGATACAAAGACCTCTCGCCGTACACTGGTGACTTCGACCACATTGTCACTCCAAAGATTGCCCGCATCGCGCGTTAGAACCGCGAGAGCGTCAACACCTGGTATCTTAACAGCTGATGCGGACAACTCATGGTGGGATCACCAACGTTCGTTAGCACCGTGCGAGATCACCGCCGCCGGCAATAACCGACTCAAAGCATACGACATCGGAGAAATTTTCATTGAGGCTGAAGATACCCACTTCACTATTCACATCGAAGACGTGTTGGTCGTCCTAGATCTGCAGTACGACCTACTTCCTTTGGCACAACTAATGAGGTGTGGAGTCGACATTTGCAGCAACTGCAAAGACAAAGCCTTCGAATTATATTACAAAAACTTATATCGGCAAGGCTGTCTACGACGACGGAGTCTTCGTGCTAAACTTTTCGGCTCAAGGCACCACCTTGGACTCTGATCGGGTTCTGCTGCTGAAGACGACTCCCACGGAGCCACTGACCTGTTCGCATCCCGAGATGGATCTAGAACGACCCGCCTCTGACGGACTTCTCCGCTTGCGCGCTGTTCCAACCGCCTCAACCTCCACTCCTGGTGATATTGGACCTGCGACAATGGAGCAAAAAGAAGTTAGCACGGAACCTGCAACTGCGGAACCAGGTGGCACTTAAGAAAGGGCAGCATCGGGAACGGTCTTATCTGGCTGGGCCAACTCCGGTGAAGCAATCGGGCTGTGGGGAGTTGTCAAACCACCAGAAGAAGGTGTCATTGTCAGAATCCCAGCCACTAACCACTGGGATAAAAGGGTTTTTTTTGTGTAACGGGTGAGTGCGCCCATAACCCCCCAGGCTGACGTGCCTGTAACCCTTCCCTAGGATCAATCGGGGATCACCGGTGGACTTCTGACACCCCCCCGTACTGGGATGCCCGAAGTGCACACACCGGGATTCGAACCCGAGACCTTCGCTCTGATACCATGTCAGAATCCCAGCCACTAACCACTGGGATAAAAGGGCTTGTTTGTGTAGCGGGTGAGTGCGCCCATAACCCCCCAGGCCAACGTGCCTGTAACCCTTTCCTAGGATCAATCGGGGATCACCAGTGGACCTCTGACAGTCATTCCTGGCAGTGGCTGGGGTATGTCAAGCGACCAAGAACCTCCCTATCGTAAAGCTCCGGCACTTCCTCCTGCACATGTGGCGGAAATTGATCCGTACTGTGCAATGCGCGGCACCAGCTGGGGCGGACCTCCCCTTCCAAACCGGTATGCCCCTTATCATAAAGTTTCATATTTCAACATGTATTAAGCCTCGAATTCGTGATACCCCACACTTGAGGGGTAAACGATTCCAATGATTAGTCTACATATGAAACATGTTTGAGTACGGAAAAAAAAAAATATGGACTCTAACAAGTTTGAGCTCTGGTTTGACAATTTCAGAGCCTAGCTTTACTATTGTTTATTGGAGTATTCAAAACACACAAAAAAAAATATGCCATATCAAACATCGGAGTGGTATTTCTTTGTCTGTTGTTAAGTCCCCACCCCCTTAATTTTAGTGATTTAGACCCTAAGGTGTTATATCAGGGGGGATAATGTCGCCGGGAGGAGTGGTCTATGTAGGCATTGGCTGTCGCCGGGAGTAGTGAAAAACTCATATGCCATCGCTTGTTCGGAACAAGTGGATTGCCATGTGCTTCCACCAGGAAGTGATTATACCGAGCACCGAGCACCTGCACGTTAATAATCGAAAGGCCTTCATTCGTCGTGTCCCGTCCCGCCTACTACTAAGAGTAATGAATCCCATTCCTCTATCACGGTGGGAAGTGAGGCGCCTCCTTGCAAATGCCGCAGCAGTTACTACAAGCCTCCTCTCGGCTCTTCTACTTACGCTCACACCTTCTGCCAATGCCGCCGCCAGCTGCAGCGCCTTCCGCGCCACGCATCCCCTGCCGCCGCCGCATCCACATTTTTCCCCGCTGCGCAAGCCGCCGCCACGCCATCTGGCGACTCCCGCGGTTCACACCGGGGCTCTCGTTCATCGCGCGCTGATGCGGCGCCACCCCGTCGCGACAGCCGCCGACGCTGCCGGCTCCAATGCGGTCGGCAGGACGGCAGGCCCCGTCCTGGAACCATCGCACTGTGAGTAGTAGTGCGGCGCTGGCGACGAGGGTGGCAGTCCCGTGGAGGAGCTTAGCATGCTGGTGCGTGTGCGCTAACTCTCCATTAGGGCCTAGTGCCCCCATTTTGAGTCCCTATTGCCCTATACTCTCCTTTCCACCTCCATTCTTCTGATCACCCGTTTCTTTTCGGGGCGCGCAGTGCGCGCGCTGGTGCAGCTGCAGGAGGCGTGGGGCGCGTGGGCGGGCAACAGCAACGCCACCACGGCGTGCTCTGCATGGGCTGGCGTCACCTGCAGCCCCAACGGGCTCGTCCTTGCCCTGTGAGTCCCAACGGGCTCGTCCTTGCCCTGTGAGTCCCAACGGGCTCGTCCTTGCCCTGTGAGTCCCAACGGGCTCGTCCTTGCCCTGTGAGTCCCAACGGGCTCGTCCTTGCCCTGTGAGTCCCAACGGGCTCGTCCTTGCCCTGTGAGTCCCAACGGGCTCGTCCTTGCCCTGTGAGTCCCAACGGGCTCGTCCTTGCCCTGTGAGTCCCAACGGGCTCGTCCTTGCCCTGTGAGTCCCAACGGGCTCGTCCTTGCCCTGTGAGTCCCAACGGGCTCGTCCTTGCCCTGTGAGTCCCAACGGGCTCGTCCTTGCCCTGTGAGTCCCAACGGGCTCGTCCTTGCCCTGTGAGTCCCAACAGGCTCGTCCTTTGCCCTGTGAGTCGTGCGCAAGCGGCCCGAAAGGCGAAATGTATCTGCAGTGTGCGTCACAGGATTAAACCCACTGGGCGCACTGGATCTTGCACAGCACTGCGCACCTCCTCCTTGAACCCGCACATGTACTGAAGGCGTGGGTATTGAACGCGAAATCCAAACATCCAGTGCCCGGGGTCTGGAAACACCAAGGAGAACTACCGTGGGTTGGGTTGGACAGCCGAGAGGTTGAATGATGTGCTGTTCCTTTTCTTCGATGTGCACGTGGATGTGTATGCATGGCTGCACGTGGATGTGTATGCATGGCTGCACGTGGATGTGTATGCGTGTGGATGTGTGTGTGTGTGTGTGTGTGTGTGTGTGTGTGAGTGTGTGTGTGTGTGTGTGTGTGTGTGAGTGTGTGTGCATGCATGTGTGCCCTGGCAGGGACTCCAAGGCCTTCACCGGGGATCCTCCTCCCACTGGCGCCATTCCTGCTGTCATCACTGACCTCGCCACCCTTCAATACCTGTCCGTCCGCGCTACCCTCTCCCTCTCCCTCTCCCTCTCCCTCTGCCTCTCATCCTGCCTGCACCATGTTTTCCTTTCCCCTTGCTCCTCCCTTGTGCCCTTGTTTTTCCCCTCTTCTCATGTTTTTCCTTGTTTGTTCATCCTCATTCCCCTCTTCATGCAACGTGCCTCGTGACTCCATCCTGGCCACACCATGTCCTTTTCCTCCCTCTTACACTCCCTCATTCTACCTACTTGTTTCCAGCACCCCCCTTACCCCCTCCCTCGGCTTGGGTTCCCCTGGCTGACAAGAAAAGGCCCACTATTCAAAACGGCCTTAACTTAACCACAACAGTGCCACCTCCTCCCCTCTCCTCCCCCCCCCCCCCTCGCCCCCCCACAATTCTCCCTCTCTGTTTGTCTCCCCGGCAGCGATCTGACGTACGGCATCAACCTGGAGGGCCCCATGCCATCCCTCGCATCTCTCACCCGCCTCACCCACCTGTACGTCTCACACCCTCCTCTCCTCTCGCATCACCATTAACACACCTCCCATTCCCACACAGCCCCTAACCGCCGCCCCTTACCTCCTCTCCCGCTCTCTCGCAGTGACTACATGTGACCTCTGATCCGTGATGCTCTTCTGGCCTGTCCTTCCTTGCATGCCCCCCCTTTGAACTCAATCAATCGAGCTTGCTGTTGCCCCCTGCACATGCCCCATCCCTCTGTATGTGCCGCATGCCCCATGCCCCTGCGTCTGCCCCATCCCCCTGCGTCTGCCCCATCCCCCTGCGTCTGCCCCATCCCCCTGCGTCTGCCCCACTTCCCTGCATGCATGTGCCCCATCCCTGTGTCTGTGTGCATCGCTCCCTGCAGCGCCCTGGGAGCAGACGGCTGCTTGCTCACCGGCACTGTGGACCAACTCTCGTGGCTCTCCTCCCTCTCCGCCCTGCACTTATTGTAAGCCCTGCCTCTCCAGTAGGCATGAGCACAAGGGCGAACACCTGTTCGTTCGAGGCGAACCAAACGCTTTTTCCCCTGCCTCTCCAGTAGGCATGAACATGTTCGTGTTCGCCTCTTGCTCAAGCCTACTTTCCAGTTACCCCCTCCATGCCTACCCTGCCCAGTGGGCGGCGAATGGGCATATGGGTCCAATCTCTTGGGGAGTATGTATGAGGACGGCACTTGATGAAGGCTTCTCAAAGGCTTCTAAAAAACCTTCTGTTCATCCCTCTCTTGCTCGATCCTCAAAACTGCTGCCGCACAACACTTTTCCAACATGGTTTCTCCAAGGATCGGATTCAGTTTCCAATGGCATCGGCAGCACCACCATTATCAAAGCTCGTCACATAAAACAATGAAGTTCACCCGCGTGGGCACGAGAACGGCCCAGCCTCCTCAACCGAGGCCGGCTGGACTCGACTAGAGGGTGGTTCGGGCCGGTGTTTGTGGAAAATCTACCACACGAGCTGCCCCGGCGGGTTGGTTCTGGCTCGAGCAGCCACGGCCTGGCTGGCAACCACACGGTCGGTCGTCACCAGGCCAGGCCGTTTTTCTGGCCGCGTCGAGTCGAATGACAGAGTCTCGCGCGCACTTGAGTCAACCTGACGGGGTTGACTTTCATTGAATCCGCCTTACTTCAGGAGCCCGCACACCTGCCATTGGGCCTTGGGTGAGCGCGCCCCTCACCTAGCAGCCCACACACCCCTCGCTGACTGCGAGTGCCTCGGGCCATGCCGGCCCGACCCATCGTCCGACCCAGGGTGGTCCGGGCCGGGGCCCCCCTAGTTCACCCTGGTGGCAGGGCGGAGGATTGGCAATCGGCCGGGCCTCAGCCCAGCCCGCTGACAACGCCGACCCGGTGTGTTTATTAAACCGACCGTGCCCAGCGGGACTGGACATCTGGATTCTGGACCCTGGTGGTGACTGCGACCTGGCTCATGGAGCAGTCCTGGGAACTCCACCAAAGTGCTGCCAGTCCTCGCCAGTTGTTGAGCCAGTAGTATCAAAACGACTGCCTCGCTGAAATGATTGGCTGAAGGGGATTCGAGGAAACTCGGTCGCGTTGTCAAGTATTAGAGTCTTGGTGTACTCGAAGCAAAGGCTTTTAAAGAATGTAGTCGCTATTCCTGGGCTAGGTTATGCTTCCCCAGGGAGGAAGGGGGGAGACATGGGCCGGGGATGGTGGGGAAGAGGGGAGGAGGTAAGTTGCTGGGGGTGCTTGCGTTGACGCAAAAAGAATGCTCACCTCGACTAAAAATTCTCGCCTGAAATGGAGATTAGCGAGGCGATCTCTGCTTACTGAACGCCTTGCAGCAACAACTATCCAGGAGTTCCGTGGCAGCTACCTTCCCTTCCCTCTTACAGTTACGCCTCACGGTGCTGCATGCTCTGTTGTGTTTCTAGCTCTCTCACTGTCCGCCACCTCCTCACTTGTGTCACGTCCAACTGCCTCACCTCACCTCACCACCGCCAGGCGGTTGTCTGGCTTGTCGGAGTTCACTGGAGAGCTGACCTCCTTTGCACTTCTTTCCCACCTCCACGACCTCCAACACCTGTGAGTCTACTTTCAGAGCACCCACTCAGAAGTGACTCTTTTTTTTATGAGCCTCAAAAAATGGTCTACTATGAGAGCACCCAGAAGTGGCTCCATTGACACTAAAAGTGTTGTCACTTCACGTATACTTTGTTTCCTAGAGTGCTCGTTGTTTTATCCGTCACCATCGTACCCGGCTGTCAGGTGACAAGTGCACCTACTGACTTTGCCATGGGCTGTTTGCATGTGCACGGTTTGCAGATCGCTCATTGCTCTTAGCAACGTGACAGGGGAGATACCCAGGGAGATTCGATACTTGACTGCCCTCACTACACTGTAAGCTGAACACAACATCCTTGTGAATTCCGCATGTGTGAATGGCTGTGCCCCCAGACATGTGTACTGCTGCAACGTCTTGCTCCTCTTACGCCAGCCACCCAATCTAGCTCGCTCGCACACACCAAGCTCCCTCTGCCCTTCTGGCCTACCCGTGCCACTCTCCCTGCCTGCAGGGACCTCATACTTCTTCGTGCGGTGGATTTCCCAGACTGGGTCACTCAGATGTCCAATCTCCAGTCCCTGTGAGTCTGCTGCTTCTAGCTTTCTCACGTGCGCCCGTTCTCTCTCTTCTGCTCCATTCCTCCATTCTCCCTGTCCTGCACATTGCTCCACTCAAGCAGACAAACCACGCCACATCTCGGCGTGCACTTGGTGCTAACAGCCTTTCCAGTCACAGCCGTTCCTTTAACAATCCTTCCTGCCCTGCGTTCGTGAGCAGTCGTGTGAGCAACGACAGGCCACGGGGTTGACTTGCACGTTGACTCAAAAACCACGCCGCAGTTCGGCGTGCACTTTGTGCCGAACAGCCCTCCCCTGCCCGCTGTGTGCGTGTGAGCAGGCGAGTGATCAACGACGAGCCAAGGAGGCAGGGAGTGCTGCCAGAAGGCCTTTCAGAGCTGACAGCACTCACTGAACTGTGAGTGCGCACAGCACAGCACAGCACAGCACAGCACAGCACAGCACAGCACAGCACCGCACAGCACAGCACAGCACAGCACAGCACCGCACAGCACAGCACAGCACAGCACAGCACCGCACCGCACCGCACCGCACCGCACAGCACAGCACCGCACAGCACAGCACAGCACAGCACAGCACAGCACAGCACAGCACAGCACAGCACAGCACAGCACAGCACAGCACAGCACAGCACAGCACAGCACAGCACCGCACAGCACAGCACAGCACAGCACAGCACAGCACCGCACCGCACAGCACAGCACAGCACAGCACAGCACCGCACAGCACAGCACAGCACAGCACAGCACAGCACAGCACAGCACAGCACAGCACAGCACAGCACAGCACAGCACAGCACAGCACCGCACAGCACAGCACAGCACAGCACAGCACCGCACAGCACAGCACCGCACAGCACAGCACAGCACAGCACCGCACAGCACAGCACAGCACCGCACAGCACAGCACAGCACCGCACCGCACAGCACAGCACAGCACAGCACAGCACAGCACAGCACAGCACAGCACAGCACAGCACAGCACAGCACAGCACCGCACAGCACAGCACAGCACAGCACAGCACAGCACAGCACCGCACAGCACAGCACCGCACAGCACAGCACAGCACAGCACCGCACAGCACAGCACAGCACCGCACAGCACAGCACAGCACCGCACAGCACAGCACAGCTCAGCTCAGCACAGCACAGCACAGCACAGCACAGCACAGCACAGCACAGCACAGCACCGCACAGCACAGCACAGCACAGCACAGCACAGCACAGCACAGCACAGCACCGCACAGCACCGCACAGCACAGCACAGCACAGCACAGCACAGCACAGCACAGGCTCACCGTTGCGCAGTCTCACATACCTCGTTGCACAGTCCAAAACCACATTGGTGTACATCCGTCACCTTGCCTCCCCCCTTCATACACTGCACACTGCAGGTCCCTTTCTGGGAACAACCTGGAAGGCGCGCTGCCCAAAGGCTTCTCCACACTTGCCAACCTGGCTGTCCTGTGAGGCACTTCCTTCCACACCGCCCTTCTCTCCCTCTGTGGGTCACTTCACTTGACTATCGAGCTGACGTGTGAGACAGCAAAGCGCCAGCCAACTAGAGTGGGTAGTCTGTCTTCTAACGAGTGTTATTGCAAGCGGTCAATCCCAGCCCATGTTTCCATGTCTTGCAAGGCAGTCTTCTCTCGTGCATTCTACTTAACTTGCAGGGATCTGAGCTTGAACCATCTGCAAGGCACCATCCCTGAAGCATACTCTGCGCTGACAGCCCTCGCTAAACTGTACGTGTCATGTCCTGGTGGTCCGCGATTCTCTCGTTGTAACCCCCTCGCCAACCCACCCAATCCCCAGCCTCTCCACCCCACCCTCCCTGTCTTCCCTCTTTCCGGGTTCCACTCCCTGACTAACCATCCAGTCCTGCCTTTCTTTGCTGGAACAAACCGGTTTGCTCAATAAGACATGGTTTTGCCTTGCTTGTGCCCCTCCCTCTCATCTGCAGAGACCTCTCATCGAATTACCTTTCCGGCTCGGTGCCTCGAATCTTCAGTAGCAACATCCAGACTATGTATGCCTGTCTCCCTCCTCCACCACTCGCACTCTCCATCTCTCTTTCACCTTCCTGCCTGCCTTTCTTCACTCCCTTTTGCTTTCTTCCTCTGTCGCTATCGCTCCTCCGTCCCTCTATTTACCTCCCCCCCCTTGCTCCGCTTACCCCCCTCCACCCCCCCCCTCCCTCCCCCCCCCCCCCCCCTCCCCTCTCCGGCACCCTCTGTTATGTTCCAATTCCTCCCAATTTCGAGCCATCCGATCGGCTCATGATGTATTCGTGCCGCACCCACTGTGGTTCTCTCGTGGCTCGTGAATGCAATGAAGGTAGGAAGCTCACCGTAGAGTCTCTCCTGAGCCATCTCCACGCCACCCGCCTTGCCTCCCGCAGAATGCTCAGCTACAACAGCTTTTCCGGACCCATCCCGCCGCATCTCGCACTGCCTAGCTTGGTCCAGCTGTGAGCTCACCTCCCACCCACCATGCAATGACATGCATGCACCTCCCTCCCTCCTTCCATGTTTCTCGTTAGCATCCCTTGCATTCCTATATGTATTTCCAACGCTAAACCCTCCCTTCCTATTCGTATGTAGAATTTCTAACTGTCATTTTATGGCTGTCAATCTGAGCCATACACTCTCTGATATATGTGCGTGCATTGGCCTCCCCTCTTCCTCCCCTCTTCCTCCCCTCTTCCTCCCCTCTTCCTCCCCTCTTCCTCCCCTCTTCCTCCCCTCTTCCTCCCTTCTTCCTCCCCTCTTCCTCCCTCTTCCTCCCCTCTTCCGCCCCTCTTCCTCCCCTCTTCCTCCCCTCTTCCTCCCCTCTTCCTCCCCTCTTCCTCCCCTCTTCCTCCCTCTTCCTCCCCTCTTCCTCTCTTCTTCCTCCCCTCTTCCTCCCCTCTTCCTCCCCTCTTCCTCCCCTCTTCCTCCCCTCTTCCTCCCCTCTTCCTCCCCTTCCTCCCCTCTTCCTCCCTCTTCCTCCCCTCTTCCTCCCCTCTTCCTCCCCTCTTCCTCCCCTCTTCCTCCCCTCTTCCTCCCCTCTTCCTCCCTCTTCCTCCCTTCTTCCTCCCCTCTTCCTCCCCTCTTCCTCCCCTCTTCCTCCCCTCTTCCTCCCCTCTTCCTCCCCTCTTCCTCCCCTCTTCCTCCCCTCTTCCTCCCCTCTTCCTCCCCTCTTCCTCCCCTCTTCCTCCCTTTCTTCCTCCCCTCTTCCTCCCCTCTTCCTCCCCTCTTCCTCCCCTCTTCCTCCCCTCTTCCTCCCCTCTTCCTCCCCTCTTCCTCCCCTCTTCCTCCCCTCTTCCTCCCCTCTTCCTCCCCTCTTCCTCCCCTCTTCCTCCCCTCTTCCTCCCCTCTTCCTTCTCTCGTCCTGTGTGCAGGGAGTTGTTCAGCAATCGGTTCACAGGCGGCATTCCACACACTTTCACCAGGCTCACCGGCATCGCATCTCTGTATAGACACCCAGCCTTCACTCAGACGCCATCTATTGCTTTGCTTTCTTGCCGCTGCACAGTGCTGCCTGAAGCCCAAGCCAGCTGAACGTTGATGTAGCTAGGCAAGCATGCTCGTTGAAACTGCCAAGCACGCTCATTGCTCTGCTCTCACCTACTGCCCCTATCCTTGCCAACCCAATACTTGTCCGTCACAACCGTTGTTCGTACTAATTTCCTTCTGCCGTGTGCTCGTGCACCACACCACACCACACCGCACTACAGGATCGTGTCCAACAACAGCCTGAGCTCCGGCCTGGACGTGGTTGCTCAGATGACATGGCTCACAGACATGTGAGCACAGTCTCTTGCTCACTATCCACCACCTGCCTGCCTTCACGTCCCCCCCCTTCCCTCCCTGCTTAGCTGCTGCGGCTCTTCTTCATGTGTCTTCCTCTCTTCGAGTGTAACTGCCCTCATCCAATCCAATCCGTGCAGTGACCTCCATTCAAACAACTTCTCCGGTGTGCTACCCGTGTCCTTTGCTGCTATCAGGGGCCTCGTGTCCATGTGAGTCATTCTCCGTTTGTATTGCTGTGTGACGATTTCCTTCTTCCTGTCTACTATACCAATGGTAGATGCGGGGGTAGAGTCCGTTATCTGGCTGAGTATGTGTCCATCTTTCAGTATCTCTAGTTAAGAGATTGATTGACAAAGCAGGGAGGTATGAAGAAATTGTCCATCCATGGCAATGGCAATGGCATGCATGGATGCTCACCTGCAGGTACGAGTATGTGTATGTGCGTGCTTGTGAAGGTGGTGGAGACGCGTGTTTTCTACTTTCCCATGTGTTTCCGGGTGCATACGTACATGCATTCGCTTGTCCATTTATGGGTGGGTGCGTGAGTCCATGAGTGCATGCATATCTACGTTTTAAAAGAGCTTGTGCAAGTGTGTCGCCATATGTATGCAATGGTGGTGTGTATCCCCAGGACTTTGTGCATAAGTGTGCATTAGCCCATCCATCGATTCAACCCCCCAACGCCCATCTCCTGGCGCCCTTCAGAAGCATCCAGAACAACCACTTCACGGGATCCTTCCCTGAGCCACTTCTCAGCAACACAGGCCTCGAAGTTTTGTAAGAGGAGGCACCTGACTCGAGGAGGCTGTCAAGAGCTCCTCTAGATCACTAAAGCACACGCAACACACACACCAGCAGTGCTGCTTCCAAAGCCACGGCGCTTTCTGTGGATGTGAGTCTCATCCTTCCTAAAGGCAGTGCCTCTACTAAAGGCATCTAATGGGTATGCTGAGTTTTGAGGCGCCTCAGAAGTCGTCTGAATGGGCTGACATTGTCTCTGCGTCCTCTGGCCATGGCAATTGCTGCAGGAATTTGAGCAACAACAGTTTTACTGGGTTCATCCCCAACCGACTCACAGAGCTTGTCGGCCTTGTAGACATGTGAGTCGCACCCCACACAACTGTTGCCTGCCGCCCGCAGCCAAAGCACGACATGAGGAAAGATCCGAACGCCTGTTCAGTTCGTCCGAACATGTTTGTGACAGAACCGAACCGAACATGGTTTTTGGCAAAAAAAGGCTCGACCGAACATGTTTCATGTTCGGCCGAACATGTTCGATGTTCGGAAAGGGGGGGAGGGAGGCCACGTGGGAGGAGCTGGCCCACTGGAAACACACTCTCGAACCTCGAACATGTTCGGGTTCGTGCCGAACATGCAGTGTTCGCCCCCCTACCACGAACACCGAACACCTAAAATCGCCAAAAAATGTTGGGCGAACCGAATACAAGACATGTCCTTCGAGGTTCGGGCGAACATGTTCGGTGTTCGCCCGTTGCTCATGTCACACACATGCAGCCGTGTGGGTGCAACTTTTGAGTCGACTCAAAAGTCACCGCGAAGTCATGTCACCTGCTGGCTGCACCCAAAACACACAGCCGTGGAATTTCGATGGCATGAGTACAAGGGGTGGAACCGGGATGAATGAGGTTGTATTGTCACACAGAAGATGACCGTGTTGTATGGGGACGAGTCTTACGCAATCCCATCATAAACAATTAGCAGCTTATAATAATCTGTCATCTCCTTCTTGCCCTTGAGGTTGCTGCTGTCAGTAATCTGAGTGACAACATGTTCCGTGAAGTTATCCCGCCTGGCCTCTTCCACGTCCCCTTGCTCAACTCACTGTGAGCGCCCCTATTGATTGCCTTTATCTTCAGCACACCTTGTCTTCAGCACACCGTATTGGCATCAATTTTTTCTCGCATGCCCCTTCATGCTTCTTGCTTGCCTTTAGCTCCCTATCTTCACATCTGCGGCCCCAGCATGCATTCGTAGGCCTCTTATGTATGCCATTAGCAGGCGATTACTGGCTTTGATTAGCGTGCTAGCCCCCCTTCTCTCCCTCACCTCTCACCTCTCTGCTGCAGGCAAGTGGCCAACAACTTCCTCTCGGGGGGCCTTCCAACGTCTCTCAAGGCTTCCGACTCCCTGAAAACACTGTGTGTGGCACCAACTCTGTCTCACATCGCTTGTGATTATGCTCCAAGTGATGTTCCATCCTACATCTGCTCTGCAGCTTACGATAATGCCTTGTGACGTCTGCCCTCTCCCCACTGTGCAGTAACTTGGCTGGAAATGGCTTCACAGGTCATCTACCTGACTTCTCTCTCTGGCATGTCAACCTCGAACGCCTGTGCGTCTCCCTCTCTCCTTCTCTCTCCTTCTCTCTCCTTCTCTCTCCTTCTCTCTCCTTCTCTCTCCTTCTCTCTCCTTCTCTCTCAAACGATCGCGTCCGGAACTGTCGAGGAGTTCCTTGGTGAAGTGGGTGAAAGCGGTGGTGCAATGCAATCGTCTGGTCCACATAGAGAAAGTTATGTTGATGTACACGTATTCCAAATTGAGCATGGACGGGAAGGTCGCTGTCACAGCTTGAAATGCTCAGAGCGTCTTCTTACTGAGCAAAGGCGGGAAAAGGCATTCTCTGCCTAGGTGCTCCTCCAGCTGTGGCTTGCCATAGGAGGTCATTGCTTTGATGCTGACTTCCTTTGGTATAGCGCATCCCATCCGCTCTTTCGATAATTCTTACAGGCGTTGCTGCACTGCCTTACAGTCAGGTCGTTTTGGTGAGAGCCAACGTGTCGGGCAGGGGATTAACAGGAGAAGAACCCATCTTGTTGCGGAGTCCAGGTTCTTTGCCAGGCAGACACTCTCGGGGTTTGAGGACACTGTGGCAAATTGGCGGGTGAAGTGCTGGTGGGAGTTTTCTGGGAAGCTAAGGTTGAGGGCTGTTGCAGAGGAAGGGCTCGCACATTTGCAGAGGGATTGCGAGCCTGATGAACCAACTGTGTCCGTCATCACGTGCCAGCTTCTTTGGTGACAATAGACAAAGCATTTCGTCGGGGTTATGGGGTCCTGTGTCTACATGCCCAATCACTGTTTTCCTTCATGAACCTAGGATGTGAGATGCTACTTGGCTAGGGGTAGCTATGAGCAACGAGTGAACCGAACACGTTTGTCTCGAACAGTTTGCGAACACTTGGTCAATTCGAACTGAACCCAACACGTTTGACTCGAACAGTTTTCATAAATGTTAGTGTTCCCCGTTTGTGTATAGGGTCGAACAGTTTTGAGGCAAGGCCGAACACTAAGGTGTTTGACCCGAACTCGAACAGTTTGCCTTGGAGGGTTCTTTCAGCACATTCAGGCAGGGCGAGTGTACTAGAAGCAATATCACGTTCCCTATAGCCCTACAAAAAATATAGTTAGGCTTGGCGCAGGTCTGGTGGATATCCAATTTCGCCTTGCTAAACTCCAACCTAAACCGAAATGCCCTTAGTTCCTTTTTTAAACCGTCTCCTACCCTAATTCAACCTTATACCTCACGTTTCCAGCCAGAATGTGAAATCTTAACCGTGGGAATGTGGTAGTTGAAGTGGGTAGGGGGCGGAATGCCATCCTTAATCAACCAGCGCGTCAAACTTTGACGCGCTGAATTTTTCCCTCGAACACCTAGGTGATTGCGACAAGCACATCGTGTTCGCGAACACCAAGGTGTTCGTGCATTTTTTCTGCACACGAACACTCGAACAGTCGAACACGTTCGTGACGAACACCAAGGTGTTAGTCACGAACAATTTTGGGCAAAAAAAAACAGTCGAACACGTTCAAGTCGAACACTTTCGAGTCGAACCGAACAGGGGTTCGAATTTTTGCTCATGTCTAGCTAGGGGTGTATGAAAGTTGCTTTAATTTTCGGGGGGCTCCCCTCCTTCAGGCCCTCTGATCCAAATGTTCTCCCGCTTCACATTCTGGCTATTTGACGTCCATTCACATTTACTTGGCGGTGGTTCAACCCTTACTCCGTGTCAATGTCCCATGCTGCCGGTTATGTGTTGGTGGTGGTTCCCAGGGCTCTCAACCACAACAACTTCACAGGGTCCATTCCTGACTCCATCTCCACCCTCACCTCTCTCAATGGCATGTGAGTCACCACCACTGCTTGCACCCACCACACATCCAAATCCAACTGCGCTGCATGTGTAATAATACCTTGTGCCTCATTTCTATCCTTCACCTCCTTGTAACCTGTGGTCCAGTTGAGGAGCAGGCGGGCGTTCTTGACTCCACAGCGTCTTCTCACCTCACCTGTGCTCCCCTTCCTATGGCATCTCGCCCTGCATGCATGCAGCATCCTCAACAACAATCAGCTGAACGGCTCCATTCCGTCTGCCATCTTCAGCATGACCAATCTAGCCTCCCTGTGAGCTCAACTCAACCGCGCTCGTATGAGCGCTCGTATGTCTCCTCTCCATTGAGTGTCCTCTTCTTGTCTGCTCGCTCACGGCTCTCCCTAATTCTGCGCTTTTGCACCAGCTATTCTCATCTTCTATGCATCTCAGCGAACCGGATTATCTCAATGTCTCTCTGGCCGTCACCCCTGCAGCTATCTGGCCAACAACCGTCTGAGTGGCAGTCTGCCCGCTGCCATCAGTCGCCTAGAGAAGCTCGAGCAGCTGTGAGTGCCTGTGATGCCCGAACCTGTCATTCTTTCTTGCCTCAGGAGACCTGGGTGTCAAAACTTAGGCTTAGAAGTGATGCATTAGTAGTGAGCTCAAAGCTCTTTAAGTACATCAGGAATGAGCAAGGTATGGATGAGGAGGGAATCAGGGGGCAATCCTAGGGAATCAAGGGTAATCCCAAGGCAATCTCCAATTGGTGGGTTGGAGATTGCTTGGAGATTACATTTGGGTTTGGTTGGGATGTGGGTGTACACCCAACCAAACACAAAGTGCAAACTACACTAAACTAGGATATAAAAGTACAAGTACAAAATGTGAGATTGAGGGCTAACACCAACACTGGGCTCAGTGTGGAAAAGCCGGGTGGCACAACCTTGGAAACATAATGGAAAATAACTCGAGTGCACTGTATGAGCCGTAGGTCTTCACGGCCATGGCGAAAAATAGCCCCACCCACCCATGCCGTGTGGTTGCGCGGTATTTCTTGGCCCGGCCAGCAGTCTTGGCTGCCCACCACGCGCTCAACTCCCTGACTGCTTGACGAGCAGCCGAGAGTGTCGTCGTACGAGAAAGCTGTAAATGGGATCAGCAAGTCCGTGTGGCTGCACCAGATCACGAACAGCATGGTGGCACTTCCTGAACTGTGTGGCGGCGAAGGCCATAAAAAAAGCAGCCTCTCTTTCGAACGCGTTAACGGCGCTGCTGATATCTGATACCTGAAGTGCCATAACTGACCAGTCACTCCTCCAGGCCATTGATCGGACCCTTCCCTCCGGTTCCGTAAAGCCGAGGAGTCATGCGAATAAATCTCGTGCCATGCGAATTGAGTTTGCCAGTGAGTGTGGTGTTCACAAGTGCTAAAAGGTGCACTCCATCGTCTGGTCCGGGTGCATGAGGCAGCATCATGTAGGTATTCGAAAGGGCATGCCGCTCGATCCCGCACCACCAACGCCGTTCTGCAACTGGCAAGGAGGTGGCAGAGGTTTCAGCAGATAATGCCTGGGAACCTAAGTAGTTGCTGGGTTTGGATCCACTCCCAGGTGGATGTGGTGGCACTGGGATGGCAATAATGCAGATGCAGAGCCACTGGGGCAGGGTTCTGGTAGCTTGGGGACCACCATTGAGGCTGTTGTAGGCGAGTGCATGCATGGCGGAAACCAGCAGGCGGGTGAGGGCGGGCTTGTGGTGGCGCCAAGCGGCGAGGCTGCGTGAGCATGCGGGCAGATTTATGTGCGAAATCCCCCGCCCCTCCGTATGTTGGTGCGCCCTCCTGCGGTGGCGCCGCCGTCTCAGCGCCGCTTGGAACCCCTCCGCTCCTACTTCCGCAGGCAGCCGTGGAGATGTGGTGTGGTGTGCTGCTCCAGGTTCAGGCCCACCCATTTTTCATGCCGAGATTGGAGCTAATTCCTCCCGCAGCAAGTTCCCCTCTGCCATGCATGTTCCTCTATGTGGAGGTGGTCGAACGCACGTTCGCACTTGAACGTGCGGTTCCCCTCTGCCACGCATGTTCCTCTATGTTGTCTCCGATGCTAATGTAGTCTTGCCGTCGCCTTGTGTGGCCGAAGGCTGTGCTATCGAGCGCCCGCAGCCTTCGGCCGATGGTGCAAGCTGTTGATTGCAAATCAAGACCAAAACTGAGTCATGCGCGCTGGAGGTATACTCCATAGGGCCGTATGTACCTAGGGCAGATGGGAAGACAGGCAGAGGGCGCACAGGCAGAGTGTTAATTGCTTGCTCTCTGTCGCGAGCCACTGATTAGGACTTCTCTCGCTCTCGATCTCTCTCTGTGTCTGTGTCTGCTCCTCCCTCTTTGTGCTCTTTAGGATTTCCCAGTTTCTACTCCTACCCCGCCTTCTCTCTGCAGCTGGCTGGACAACAACAGCATCGAAGGCACTCTGCCATCAGCTATCTGCTCGCTACCTGAGCTATGGCGCATGTGAGTGGCTGTGGCGCATGTGAGTGGCTGTGGCGCATGTGAGTGGCTGTGGCGCATGTGAGTGGCTGTGGCGCATCGCATGGCACACAATGTTTCAATATCTCCTCCTTGCACTGTAGGGTTGCACGTGAAAGCGGAAGGTCAAGCTCTTGAATGTTTCACAGTATGAGGTGCATCGCCTCTGAATCATTGGCTCCTTGCGTTATAACGTTGTACGCCTTGAGCAGCCCAGAGCATGGTGCCACATGTTGCGCATGCATGTGCGCCAAGCAGAGCACTAGGTAGGCTGCGTGATGAGTTTTTGCACAGCATATGTGCGGGCAAGGTAAGCGTTGGGGAGACAAATGTTACCAACAGTGATGACCTCATGTCCTGAATGGTAAGCGTGGTGAAAATGGAAGAAACAGTGTTGACCTCAGCATGAGAAGCGGGAAGAGGGCCGGCCCGCCAAGATTAGAGTCAGCAATTGTATGTGACACAAGCTATGTATGTGTGATGGATTGTAGTGCTAAGTTGCTATGTAAGGGTCATCCTTGCATGGTTGTGAGTCAGCAGCATGTAATGAACACTGCAGTCGAGTGAACAACGAGTGGCAAGCATCACACATAAACTCATAGGGAGGGAGGTGGGGAAGTGTTGTGTGGAATCTAGTCTCTAGTTGTGTGTGCATGTTGAAGCTAGTGAGTGTCTGTTGCTTATGCTGCTACTTTTTTTAGCTTGCATTGATGAGGTAGGTACGGTTGCGTTGTGTGCTGTGTGCTTTGCGCTGGCAGCATGATGAGCAATAACTACCTCTATGGGCCTCTGCCAGAGTGCATCTTCAACAAATGTGTCAACCAAATGTGAGACAATCAATCTGCGCACTCTTTACTGACTACAGGTTCAAGCACGGTATTCCCACTCCCTCATGCGCTTATGCAGCTCAAGTGTATGCATGCAGCTGACCTTGTGGACATGCTCTTTTGATGGTTGGTAAATTTAAGGGCTTTGGTTGTCGTGCTCACTCTAAGATGGGCGTGATTACAGCTGTTGAACCTTCCCCTCCTCCCCCTGCTCCCCCCAGCGATGTGAGCAACAACAGCCTGTACGGGCGCATCAACCGCAACTTCAAGAGCATGGTGGCGGATAGCGATGCGCTCATCAACTTGGCTCACAACTTCTTCTTCGGCGATGCGCTGCTCCTCGCTGCCGGCTGCCAGGTCTGCCCTGCCGAGATCACCCAACCCAACAACCTCGTCCTGGGGGACACGGGCGACGGCGCTGTTGGGAAATGTGCCAGCAGCTTCACTGCCGTGCGGGATTACTCGGTGGCGGGGGCAGGCAAGGAGGCGAGGGTGAGTGTGGCGGGCAACTGCCTGACGCTCAGTGCGGACGCGGAGTGCTCGGCCAACGCCACCCAGCGCAGCACGGCAGCCTGCCAGGCGTTCTGCAGCATCACGGACAACGGCCCGTGTGACGGCCATGGGGAGTGCGTGCCGCCTGCCCCCGCCTTGCCCTTCAACTTCACCTGCCTCTGCCATGCCGGCTACTCTGCCCTCGACTCAGCCAACGGCTCCACCTGCGCCGTGGTCAACTCCACCACCACCACTGGTGAGCCTATCTGCACTTGCGCACTGACATGGTGGTTAGAGTTCATTCTTAGAACTGTGCGGTTGTCAACTCTACAACGACCATTGGTGTGCCTATTGCACTTGCACACTAACAAGGTGGTTAGATTGTGTTTTAGTGCAGGCTTACATCACCCGCTGCGTCTTTGTGTTGCACTCCGACCCATCTTTGACAGCAACAAGTGCTTTTGTGATTTCCTCCTCCCTTCTTCCTCCGCAGTGTCCTCGCTCTCCACGGGCGCCATAGTGGGCATTGCGGTGGGCTGCTTTGCTGGCTTCGTTCTGCTCGCTGCCGTGCTCACATGGCTGCTGTGGCCCCGCGGACCAAGTGAGACCCCCAACCTCGCACCCATGCCGAGTCACTCTTGCACTCCTGCACTACTCTTTAGCTGCTGCATCCCTGCCTCCATTCTTCCGCTCCTGTCTCTCCCACCACCTCTCACTCGCCCCATGCTTCATCATGTGTGTTTCGTGTGTGTACATGCAGGGAAGTGGCAGGGGCTGGAGGTGTGTGAGCAGTACACGCTGCACCAGATGGTGAAGGCCACAGACAACTGGGCCAAGGAGAACGAGGTGGGGAGGGGCGGCTTTGGCATCGTGTACAAGGGGCAGTCGCCACAGGGGCAGACGTGGGCCATCAAGCGATCCACTGTCATGACCAACGACTTTGAGAGAGAGGTGGGACCCAGGCTGGGAGCAGCTGCCACATGCACTGCTGGTGCGACATCCGCACACACAGCAAGGAGCGCATCCACCCCTAGCAGCATAGGCGCAGGTTCGTTGGGCGTACCCAGGACCTAAACCTCTCCTCTTTCGCCCTCTGAATGCATCATCTCCTGCAGGTGCGAGCCATGGCGACGCTCAACCATGTGAACCTGGTGCGGCTGCTGGGCTTCTGTGTGGATCAGAACGTGGAGACTGGAAAGCAGGAACAGATTTTGGTTTATGAGTTTGTGAATAACAGAGACTTGCAACACCACATCTTCAAGACCAAGAGTGAGTTATACCTACCTTCTGTGCTCCAACATTGAGGTACATTCTGTCCCAAGGTTGGCAGGGTAGAATAACACACACACACACACTCTCTCACACACACACACACACACACACACTCACACTCACTCCCACTCACCCTCACTCATGCACAATTACAAACGCACACACACCACCCACTTAAAGCATCTCACTGTGCACCTCATAACTATTTCTTTGCACGTCCTTCTATGCTCTCTCTTTCATCCAGGCCCTCTCTCTCTGCGGCAGCGGCTGCGGCTGGCGCAAGGAGCAGCGGAGGGGCTGGCATACCTGCATGGGTTTGCGACGCCCATCATCCACCGCGACATCAAGCCCGCCAACATCCTTGTGACTGCCGACATGCACGCCAAGGTGGCCGACTTCGGGCTGCTCAAGCGCCTCACCCACGGGGAGGGCGACGCAACCAGAGTGGCGGGCACTCCCGGCTATGTGGATCCTGATTACAACCGCACACGCATTGTCACCACCAAGAGCGATGTCTTCAGGTTGGATTGCTACTGGGATGAACGCTTTTGAACATTTTTGCCTAATTTCTCTTGCAGATGCTCCAACTATATCTTTTAACCTGTGTCAAAGATTGAGTATGTTTTTATGCTTCTCGCCTGCCTACAGCTTTGGCATCGTGCTTCTGGAGCTGCTAACTGGCTCGACGCCGATTCGCTACGAGTCACACATCAGAGATTGGGTACGTGTATTGCAAATGAGGAATCGCGGGGTAATTTCTTGTCTGCAGTGGAGCAAGCATATATTTCGCATCGTGCCATTGTGATGCGTCTATTCACCGCAGGCAATACAGAAGGTGGAGGCGTATGCGCTGGAAGAGCTCAAGGACAGCAAGCTAGCGGCAAGCGAGGAGGCCATAGTGGCCTTTGCGGACCTCGCTCTGGACTGCGTCAAGATGCCGGGCACACGGCGGCCTGACATGAAGGCGGTGGCTCACTCCCTCAGCGCCCTCATTGACAAGTTCTGCCCTGACAAGGAGCCATGCGAACTAGTGGAGAAGCTCTCATCCTTGGGGAGCCAATCCAGCCAGTCTGCAGTTCTCTCTAGTGGGTCTGTAGAGCACAGTAGCACCAATCAGAGTGGCAGCTCATCCAATGGCCTTGGTTCCAGGTTCCGTGTGCTAGGCAGCTGGATGCAGCATCGATTTTCAGAAGGCTATTAAACTGATACAGCATCCATCCTGACACAACAATCTGACTTCACTAGATCACTCAGGGTGCATTCGTACGAGGATGTGTTGCAAATGTGGTGGTGCAATCCAATGTTACATGCATTGGCTGTCCGACAGCGTCTTCGATGAAATTGTGCTTGTAACACTGTGCCACACACACACACACACACACACACACACACACACACACACACACACACACACACACACACACACACACACACACCAGCTGCCATATCATTGGTGAGGCAGTATCGTAGTGCCCCGGATATGAGTGCAGGCCTACCGTATTGTAAGCGCATGTGCTTCTACCGTATCTGGAGCACTGCGCTTATGGCCGGTACTCGATTATAAGCGCACCCCCTGGAAAAATCTGATATATTATTATCGCATCTTAAGTACAGATTTGAAAATGATTCAAATTACTGTAATGATTTTCACTTTAGCTGGCTGATGAGTTGCAAATTCGGTTTCCTTCGCATTCAAACCCTGCACATGTTGCACGTCCAATCAGCAAGTGCTGTCAGAGGCACCTAATGACTCAATTTGAGTCAGGCCCCTAGATTCGTTTTGGACCACGTTGTCAAATGTTGTAGTCTTAGTGATGTGTGTCATAGGGGGTACAACTCTTAGGGTTAGGTTTATGTACTCCAACTAACATTGTGAATGTAACACTTTCATTCTTGACATTGGTATCAGTTAGGTTCAGGGCTGACGTTTCAGTTTTGAGGCTCCCTGATGGGGAAAAAAAAAAAATCTGTTTTAGTCTGATCGCACTTCGGCCAAAAAACGAGCAGTCTGATTGCTCAGTCTCCGGAAGTTTCAGTGTCTGTTTACTCAGGGTCGGCCAGTTCAATTCAGGGTCGTCGGGTCAGGCTCTGGCAAAATGTCGAGAAATGTTTAGCAATGAAAAGCGCCAGGTGCCTTGTACGTAACTACCGAAAGGCTGAAATGTGTCGCAATTTGATGTGTTTTTATTGGGACTTTGCAGCTGACATGAGGTGGCTGGTAAAAGCAAGTGGCGCGAGCAAAACAGTTACTCGCGCCACAGTCCTCTTGACCAAGCATCTGCAAGCGAAGCGCGTGTGGAGGAGTGAGCTGAGAGACAGCACTGCTGGTACAGTACCTACAGTAGTAAAACAAGCAGTCGCACGTGGCGCGTGTACACTGTGCTGTACGTGTGCCGCTGGGAGCAGGAAAGATGGTCAATACGTTCGCTTGTGCCCCTATAGGCACAAAAAACAATACAGTTGTTGCGAGAAATTGTCTTTTACACGTTCTTTCTTCTCGCATGCACTGATTTGTATAATCTTCCAGCCTGACCGATCATCAAAGCTCGGCCAAATTTCACGTTTCAACGACTATTAAGAGCTCGACAATAATTCAACATCCGTCACAATGGCGACTATTGAGTGTATTCGGGTGAACTACCTTGTCCAGTCTGCTCATGTGCTGGCATTGTATTGCCACCATTTCGAAGCTGGGTGTATTGGGACGAAATTTCCCGGAAACTTCTTCCCGATAAAGTTGCACACAGAGACCACATAAGCAATACTTTGTAGTGTCAGGCTTCGCAATGGGTTAAGTCTGAAGCACATTACAGGTAATCAGGGGCCATAAAACAATACTCTGACTTAGCCAGGGACTAGAAATCAAGTAATCTGAATGTTCGGTTTCCAGTGCCTAGGCAGCCTGATTCGTCAGACTAATCAGAGTATTTAGTCTGATAGCGTCAGCCCTGGCTAGGTTCGGATCCTGTGGGATCCCGTTCCTCTCGTTCACGTCCATCGCGCCCGAGCTTGTCCCGTACCCTAGTGCCCGTTACGCCCGTGCTGTCCCCTAGCGCCTCCCGCGCTCGTCTCTCTCGTCCCCTAGTGCCTGCTGTCCCTGCCGTCGCGTCGCCCCGTGCTGTCCCGTCGCGTCGCGCCTGTCCCTGCCCTGCTGTCCAGTCGCGTCGCGCTGTCCCGCCGTGTCGCGCTTCCCGTCCTGTCCCGTCACTAGCGCCCCATGCGCCCTGCCCGTCCGTCGCGCCCCCGCTGCGCCCTGCCCGTCCGTCGCGCCCCGTGCGCCTTGCACGCCCGTCGTGCCCTCGCTGCGCCCTGCCCGTCCGTCGCGCCCCGTGCGCCCTGCCCGCTCGTCGCGCCCCCGCTGCGCCCTGCCCGTCCGTCGCGCCCCGTGCGCCCTGCCCGTCCGTCGCGCCCCCGCTGCGCCCTGCCTGTCCGTCGCGCCCCGTGCGCCCTACCCGTCCGTCGCGCCTCCGCTGCGTCCTGCCCGTCCGTCGCGCCCCGTGCGCCCTGCCCGTCCGTCGCGCCCCTGCTGCACCCTGCCCGTCTGTCGCGCCCCGTGCGCCTTGCACGTCCGTCATGCCCGCGCTGCGCCCTGCCCGTCCGTCGTGCCCCGTGCGCTCTGCCCGTCCGTCGCGCCCCGCCTGCGCCCTGCCCGTCCACACCTGTCGCGCCCGTCCCTGCCAGTCGTGTCCTGTCCCGTCGCGTCGCACTGTCTGCCACGCCCTACGCACGCCCTTTAGGCGTTTAGGGTTTCGCCACCAGCGTTCCCACATCTTCGCTTCCGCTATGGCGACCCGTAGGGTCCTGCGCTTTGACGCCGAGGGTAGGCCGCTCGAGTTCTCGGTCTGGCTCCTGCGTGCGCGCCGCCTTTTAGAGAGTCAGGTTCAGGCGGGCGAGACTTTGTGGGCGCACGCTTCCGATGACCTTCCTAGGCCAGTCAACCTTGCACCCTTAGCAGCTGTCCCCACATCTGCAGACAGTGACCATTATGCACGCGAGCGTGCTGACGTGACCGCGTGGACGTCGCGTGACGCTGCGGCCTGCATCGCCCTTAGCAGCCTCCTCCCTGAGTCTAAGGTTCGCACGGCTAGTGAGTTCCTGACTGCGATCAAGGCCCGCTACGCTACTCCCACCACTGTCTCTCTTGGTCGCCTGTTCCTTCCGTTCCTGTTTCCTGACCTCGCCTCGTTTGAGCGCTCTGCTGACTTGATCACTCACCTGCGCTCGCTCGATTCTAGCTACCGCGCTGCTTGCACTGACGCACAGCTCGCACTGCTCCCTCCCCCGATGGCGATTACTATCTATTTCATCGCCACTAGTTTCCCTAACCGCCTTGCCTCGGTTCGTGACACGCTTCTTCTGAAGCACCCTAGTGAGCTCACTATCGAGGTCCTTGAGTCTGCGCTCAAGGACGTCGAGAGCAACCTCCGCTCCGTAGCCTCCGCCTCTGGTGTTGTGCCCCCTCCACTGTTTCACGGGTGCACTGTCCCTCAGCTGCCCACCTTTACTGCCTCCCTCGCCACTGCCGCTACTGACGTGACCGCAGCTGCTGTTACGACTTCTTCGCGGTCTCGGGGTAGGGGTGGCAAGAGGGGCGGTCAGGGTGCGGGCGGAGGCGGCGGAGGCGGCGGCGGTGTCGTGGCGAGCGGTGGCGGCGGGGGTGGAGCAGCTGGAGGAGCGCCTCGTGTAGCGGCCAGTGACTCCCCTGCTGCAGCTGGTGGAGGTGACGCCCGGGTTCGTCAGCCACCTACTGGTCTGCCAGCCGCCGGGGGTGGAGCAGCGGCGTGGTACCTGACTCAGCGACAGCAGCAGCCCCTCCCCTCGCAGCAACCCCCGTAGCAGCAGCGGCAGCGGCAGGTTTTGGGACAGGGGTCAGGACAGCATCAGATCCAGCGCAGTGTCGTTCACCCTCCGTGCACCTATCACGTTCTGACAGGTGCTCGCCGAGGCCAGCCTTGTGGCCGCACCCACCCACCGGGTCAGTGCTTTGCTCAGCTTACTGACACCGTTCGCTTGGCCTACGGCGTTGACGGCCCTGCCCCTGACTGGCTTCCTCTTGTTCAGACGTACGGCCCCGCTCTGTGGGGCATGTCGGCTTTTCATTTGGTTGATCTCTTAGGAACTCCTCATGCTATGTATGCTGTTGTTGACTCTAGTGCTTCTGACTCTGTTTACTCGAGTGTTGTTAGCTTAGGTGCTAGCCTTGTTGATGTGTTTGTTGCTAGTTTAGGTACATGTGTAGACACTAGTCCAGGAGCTGCTTCGGAGGACGCTTCGCTGTCTTTCACTCTGGACTCCGGAGCTTCGCACTGTTTCTTCCGCGACCACACGACGCTTACACCGCTTCCTGCGTCGGTCTCTGTAGCACTGGCTGATCCCACTTCGGGACCAGTCACTGCTCGCTACACTACTACGCTTCCGTGCCCAGCTGTTCCCTCCGGCTCTCTGACGGGCTTCCACGTCCCCTCGTTCTCGAGGAACTTGGTGGGTGTGAGGCCACTCGTGAGTCAGCACGTGGGTGTGTGGATTGAGCCCTCTGGCGAGACTGCGGTTTGTGTGGACGGGGACTCGTACGCGCCTCTTGCCCCCTTTACTGCTGAGCCGGGCTCCGGTCTCTACACACTTCACACTGGCCCCGGTGGGCAGCAGCAGCAGGAGCTACTCCCCCCGGCCCCTGTCACTGCCCCCCCTCAGGTCCCTGCGTCTCACCAGGTTGCCGCATCCCCCCAGGTAACTGTGTCTGGTCAGGTTCCCGTGTCTAGTCAAGTTGCTGCGTCTTGCTCCTGCAGGTCGCTTGCCCACCCCACCGTTCTGTGGCACCACCGGATGGGGCACCCGTCCATTCCTCGTCTGCGCGCTATGTCTAGTCAGCGTCTTGTCTTAGGCCTCCCGCGTGTCTTGCCGTCGCTGCCGCCTTCGCTTGCACCACCGTGCGGTCCCTGCGTCGAGGGTCGGCTGCGCGCCACCCCTCACTCCTCCTCCCTTCGTCCGGCCACCGAGCCTTTTGAGACTCTCCACTTGGACGTCTGGGGCCCCGCCTCTCGCCCTGGCCCTGAGCGTGAGCGTTTCTTTTTTGTGGTCGTTGACGACTACTCCCGCTACACCACAGTGTTCCCCCTGGCAAAGAAGTATGAAGTGACTTCTACACTGATCAGGTGGTTGCTTACCACTGAGGACACTCGTGGTCGTCGTGTCAGCTGTCTT